TTTTCATGGTGGGATGTAGGTGGGTTAACTAAGGGGTGGTAGTTTTCATGGTGGGATGTAGGTGGGTTAACTAAGGGGTGGTTGTTTTCATGGCGGGTTGTAGGTGGGTTAACTAGGGGGTGGATGTTTTCATGGCGGGTTGTAGGTGGGTTAACTAGGGGGTGGTTGTTTTCATGGTGGGATGTAGGTGGGTTAACTAAGGGGTGGTTGTTTTCATGGCGGGTTGTAGGTGGGTTAACTAGGGGGTGGTTTTTTTCATGGTGGGATGTAGGTGGGTTAACTGGAGGGTGGTTGTTTTCATGGCGGGTTGTAGGTGGGTTAACTAGGGGGTGGTTTTTTTCATGGTGGGATGTAGGTGGGTTAACTAAGGGGTGGTTGTTTTCATGGCGGGTTGTAGGTGGGTTAACTAGGGGATGGTTGTTTTCATGGCGGGTTGTAGGTGGGTTAACTAGAGGGTGGTTGTTTTCGTGGTTTGATGTAGGTGGGTTTACTAGAGGGTGGTTGTTTTCAAGGCGGGCTGTAGGTGGGTTAACTAGGGGGTGGTTGTTTTCGTGGTTTGATGTAGGTGGGTTTACTAGAGGGTGGTTGTTTTCAAGGCGGGCTGTAGGTGGGTTAACTAGGGGGTGGTTGTTTTCATGGCTGGTTGTAGGTGGTTAACTGGGGGTAAGTTGTTTTCATGGTTTGATGTAGGTGGGTTGACTAGGGGGTGGTTGTTTTCATGGCTGGTTGTAGGTGGTTAACTGGGGGTAAGTTGTTTTCATGGTTTGATGTAGGTGGGTTAACTGGAGGGTGGTTGTTTTCATGGCGGGCTGTAGGTGGGTTAACTAGAGGGTGGTTGTTTTCGTGGTTTGATGTAGGTGGGTTTACTAGAGGGTGGTTGTTTTCAAGGCGGGCTGTAGGTGGGTTAACTAGGGGGTGGTTGTTTTCATGGCTGGTTGTAGGTGGTTAACTGGGGGTAAGTTGTTTTCATGGTTTGATGTAGGTGGGTTAACTAGGGGGTGGTTGTTTTCATGGCTGGTTGTAGGTGGTTAACTGGGGGTAAGTTGTTTTCATGGTTTGATGTAGGTGGGTTGACTAGGGGGTGGTTGTTTTCATGGCTGGTTGTAGGTGGTTAACTGGGGGTAAGTTGTTTTCATGGTTTGATGTAGGTGGGTTAACTGGAGGGTGGTTGTTTTCATGGCGGGCTGTAGGTGGGTTAACTAGAGGGTGGTTGTTTTCGTGGTTTGATGTAGGTGGGTTTACTAGAGGGTGGTTGTTTTCAAGGCGGGCTGTAGGTGGGTTAACTAGGGGGTGGTTGTTTTCATGGCTGGTTGTAGGTGGTTAACTGGGGGTAAGTTGTTTTCATGGTTTGATGTAGGTGGGTTAACTAGGGGGTGGTTGTTTTCATGGCTGGTTGTAGGTGGTTAACTGGGGGTAAGTTGTTTTCATGGTTTGATGTAGGTGGGTTGACTAGGGGGTGGTTGTTTTCATGGCTGGTTGTAGGTGGTTAACTGGGGGTAAGTTGTTTTCATGGTTTGATGTAGGTGGGTTAACTGGAGGGTGGTTGTTTTCATGGCGGGCTGTAGGTGGGTTAACTAGAGGGTGGTTGTTTTCGTGGTTTGATGTAGGTGGGTTTACTAGAGGGTGGTTGTTTTCAAGGCGGGCTGTAGGTGGGTTAACTAGGGGGTGGTTGTTTTCATGGCTGGTTGTAGGTGGTTAACTGGGGGTAAGTTGTTTTTATGGTTTGATGTAGGTGGGTTGACTAGGGGGTGGTTGTTTTCATGGCTGGTTGTAGGTGGTTAACTGGGGGTAAGTTGTTTTCATGGTTTGATGTAGGTGGGTTAACTGGAGGGTGGTTGTTTTCATGGCGGGCTGTAGGTGGGTTAACTAGAGGGTGGTTGTTTTCGTGGTTTGATGTAGGTGGGTTTACTAGAGGGTGGTTGTTTTCAAGGCGGGCTGTAGGTGGGTTAACTAGGGGGTGGTTGTTTTCATGGCTGGTTGTAGGTGGTTAACTGGGGGTAAGTTGTTTTCATGGTTTGATGTAGGTGGGTTGACTAGGGGGTGGTTGTTTTCATGGCGGGTTGTAGGTGGGTTGACTAGGGGGTGGTTGTTTTCATGGCGGGTTGTAGGTGGGTTGACTAGGGGGTGGTTGTTTTTCACTATATAATAAAGATATGTGTTACAGGACTGTAAATATCCTGTAAAAGGAATAAACACGAGTATACATTTATTGCATTTATCTTTTTTATGTATATGTTTATTATGTATCTATATACAGGACAGTAAATATCCTATTAAAAATAAAGACTTGTATACATTTAGTGCATTTATCTAAGTTTTGTATATGTTTATTATGTATCTATATATGTTCGATTGTCCAAGATTTTACAGTATTTCCATGAAGCGTTATTTGTAAGTTAAACGTTGAACTGACTAAACTGTCTGATTGATGTGCATCTATTTAGAAGAACCCAGTTTATGACAAAACTTCTGGTCCATGTGTTAATATAAACTGTCGTGCTAAATACATGCCCTGATATTGACTGCAAAAATAGCCGTAGATTACTAGTGAGTGTGTGAGTGTGTTATAAAATAAGACCAACTGCATTGTTGATTATTATTGGTTTTTATCGATTGAACGGACAAAAAACAATATTCGTCATCGATTTCTGTCACATCCTTTTCTTAATTTTGTCATATATTTCAGTTTTACACATTCCACTGAAATTGAATGAAAACTGTTTTGCTCACATATTTCCCATGTGTCCGTGACGGATAATGAGAGTGAGAGTGAGCAAGTATTACGCATGCCATATACGCGTAGAACACGGGTAAATCAAGGACCATAATCACCCCCACTCTCTACACAGACACGCACATGCCTTTGTGGGTAGTACGAGTATTGATCGGTTGATTCTTTGTCATTTCCCTTAGCATAAGCTGACATGTATTTTGTCAGCAATGGTCCAGATCCTCACATGCTCCTTGGGATCTGCCGCGTTATTCCAAATGACGTTAAAAAATGGTACTTGTTGTTACCCTGCCTAATGGGTTGAAACAAGGACTGGTCGGCTTCGAGTAGGTTTACCGTGTCTCATAGGGGTATCAATATACAACTGCGGAAGGTATCTCAGTGGGCTACCACCATAAAACCGGTACTAGTTCGGACTAATACAAGCAACCACACACACATAAGTACGCACGTGTTTGTACTTCGCAAAATAAGGACATTTATCGCGAACGCGATGTGATAAGTCATTATTATTTCACCTCATCTCTTAAGGGAGAACGTGACATGTAGAATGTGACACCAACTTGACTGCAGGGGAAAAACCCACCCAGGCACTTACACACAACAAGAAAATATGTTTACCTTATGTTTATTAATAAATTCACTACGAGTGGCCGCCTTTAACGGAATATACAGGGTGCAGTGGCAAGCACAAAGGATGAAGTGAAGCGAAGTCACATTCAATGAATAGCAAGTCCGTGTATATTGTGACCCGGTCGCACAAACAGCAATTACCAAAACCCCTACATCCCATTTCCCCTACAGCTTAAGACAACAAAGTTCACGGTCCATGGCACTGCTAATCCCTAGTCTGTTACCTATTTCATACAATGGAACAACCCAAGAAACTCGAATAGATTGAGATAAATATTTAATTACGATTACGATATTATTCAAAATTCATAATACATTATAACAAAATGTTCATTTTTCATCTCAACTGTAAATCGTCTCATCTCAGTTTCTCAGTGTAACAAGCGTATAGTTGACAAAGTCATCTATATCCCCCCCCCCCCCCTCCCATTTTAACACGTTATGGTCCCAAACCAGGTTACTGCCTAAATAGCAGGAGGCACCAGTCCAGTTTGTGCCTGGTAAACATGCACAGTTTTTGTTGGAAAGTATTGAATGGGTTAAGAGTTATGCTCCGGAAACAAACTCTACCCTATAGAACCTAAGTCCAACTTGTTGCAATGGAAACGTGAAAAATAAAAATTGATAAAATTCCTAAATAGCAAAAGGCACCAGTTCAGTATGTGCCTAGTAGACATGCAGAGTTTTGTAAGAAAGGATTTAACAGTTTTCGAGTTATGCTCCGGAAACGAACACCACCCTTATAGAACCTAAGTCCATCTTGTTGCAATGGAAACGTAAAAAATAAATATTTATAAAACTCCTAAATAGCAAAAGGCACCAGTTCAGCATGAGCCTGATGGACATGCAAAGTTTCGTAGAGAAATATTTAACGGTTTCTGAGTTATGCTCCGGAAACGATTTCGGGACGCACACACGCACGCACACGCACGCACGCACGCACGCACGCACGCACGCACACACACACACACACACACACACACACACACATACATACACACGCGGACGGAACCCATTTCTATATCCCCCGCCAACTTCGTTGGGGCGGGGGATAATAATTGTTTCTTCCTATTGTTATTTTTGTAATTTCTAAAAATTGTCTTCTCATCAAACAGGCATCTTTCATTACACTTACATTAATTCTTTTTTTTAAAAACTTTCCTTTAAGTCCCCTTATCCCCTAAAGCTCTACCCCTTTCATTTCTACTACCTCTACTCCAGACCTTAATCTCTCCTTTAGGTGAGTTCATAATGCCAGACAGGTAAATGCCGCGTGTTGTTTTAACTAATTGTAGGGGAACTGGGTTGTAGGGGAAATGGGATGTAGGGGTTTTGGGAGATAACCCTCAAATCTATGTAGGTATCTGCGACCATCTCACGGCACATGCAAGTCGAGAGGATCCGCTTCATATAGTGTCTCGGTACATTATCATGACGAACATTGGATCAGAGAACGACGCTGCGCTCTATTCCATGCGATAATTTGATCCCACCCATCTTATGCTTTTGTAAGATTTAACGGCCTGTGTATGAAAACACATGGTTACCCCGGATATATTGATAATTCATCTGTCAACTTTTCGTCGTTCGGAATTCATCGGATTCTATCGTCACGAAGATTGTCGAAGTGAAGGGATTGTTGCTTTCAAAAGGCAGTATCGAAGGTAAACAGGAAGTTGCAGCTCGTTGACAAGGTGGATATTTAGCCATTAACCAGGCTCGGGTTAGAAGGAAATATACCTACGACTACCTGTGACCTAGTTGAATCGATCAGGACAAACCAAGCCTGAAGGATCAAATATTGACCGCCTTGCACAAGTTCACATTGTTCGTGGATGCAACTATTTGTATCGATCAGTGGAAAGTTACACGTATATACGGGTAGGTAGGATCTGAGTGTATTGCTGACTCGGTCTACCGACAGGGACGATCGTTGCTGAGACAGAAGGTAGGTTGTGTTATGTCAGTCTTTATTATCAATATAACAACAACAACAACAACAACAACAACAACGTGTATTTGTTTCCAGGTGAGAGCTGAGACATATTGAAGGTAAAGCAGAGATATGTGATATTAAACGAGGCACGATCAGACGTTTACCCATCGTATATTTCCCATCGCAACTTTTCTATTGGTAATCTATGATAAATGGATCGTATTTCAATAATCGGGATACGAAATCTTAGGGTAGTGATAGCAGATAACTTTCCATCTGTATTATATGTTAAATAATCGGAAGAATACTGTTTTAAGAGCAATAGAGGTGAAGCCTTGCATATTTATGCACATTTACAGGGTATGAAACTCCCAAAAATTTCAGCCAGACCACAGGACTGGCTAGCTGAAATATTTGCCAGCCCTGACCAAAACCTGCCTCCCCACTGTAATCATATGTTTCTCAGGATAATTTAATTAAAAATATGAAAACTGATTGCTTGTAGCATAAGCGCATCGCTAAATGTTAGGTTGTCTACATTTTATCATTCATCTTTACATGTGAATTAATGCTTATCATCGGGAAATATTTAGAATATTTTCACCTATGAAATATAACCCGACCGTCGGGCAGGGGGATTTGAAAATCTGGCAGCCCGAGTTGAAATCAGCCCGTCTCGGACGGTCGGGCAGGCAGGTATTTCGAACGCTGATATTTAGTTAAACGGTGTGTCGTGAGGTGTGTGTGTGTGTGTGTGTGTGTGCGCGCGCGTGCGTCCGTGCGTGTGTGCGCGCGCGCTCGCGTGCGTGCATGCGTGTGTGTGTGTGTGTGTGTTGGGTATTGGGGTTGAAGTTAGTAAACCTTTATTTTCATAACTTTGCAACATTTATATTTACTCATCATAACCTCTGAACGCATTAGCACAGTGTTAATAGTGCGTGTATACCTGCGTGTATACCTGTGTGTATCAGTTAATTCTTCTACTTACCACCGCAGTGTGTCATACACGTATTCATAAAGACTGCAATCTATTCCACGCTTGAGCGGATATCGACCCACTTGCCTTGTGGGGCACCCTGACACTATACACATTGGCAAGCATGTACAAAACTGATGGCGGCGGAACACAGACGCCCGTATAAGAATTGGGTACATGGTATTTCTGAACATAAAGAAAAGCTTTAATGGTCGGTTTTAGTTGTCAGAAGCTTTTGATAGTTTATATATGCTTGTCACGATTGTTTTGCATCAGCGATATAGGGTTAAATACCATGGTACTGTAGTGTTCAAATTCGTCTGTCTCACAGCCTCTAAAACATGTCATTATCCCTTCTGCCCAGCCTGTAATGATAGCTCTTTACGAAGCAAGTCTAGATTTTCCACAGGTACTCACTGGGGCTCCTTTTTAATTTAAATGTGGTTCCTAATTTCCATCAAAAAAGTATTTACAAACACTAAGCGTTAGTCTATGTTCCAATGAGTACAGAGCGACATGCAGGTGATTGTGTGTGTGAGATTTGCGTGAATGTGGTTGTGTGTGTGAGTGTGCCCCCGCGCGCGCGCGCGTGTGTGTATATATATACATATATACACATATATATACATATATACACACATATACATACATACATACATACATACATACATACATACATACATACATACATACATACATACATACATACATACATACATACATACATACATACATACATACATACATATGTGTGTGTTTGTTTGTGTGTGAATGTGTGTTTGTGTGCGCGTGTGTGTGTGTGTATATATATATATATATATATATATATATATATATATATATATATATATATATGTGTGTGTGTGTGTGTGTGTGTGAGAGAGAGAGAGAGAGAGAGAGAGAGAGAGAGAGAGAGAGAGAGAGAGAGCTTATCTTAATCCGAAATAATGCTGGTATTACTGTGTTCGCACTCTGCCATACCATGCCACAGTTTAACGTGATGGCCCAATCAATTCATTTCATTTCAATTAAATTCTTTATTGTATGAAAGGCCAACATACAAAGTCAAGGTAACACTTCACTTCGTAACACAAACGCATGATATTATGTACAAAGGCAGTGGATGTTGCAGGACAGCAGTGAAGTCAATCTTATAGCATTAAAATGAGATAGAGGCCACTGCAGTGAGTACTTGTTTCTTAGATTTTCGCATATAGGGCAAATAAACATGAAATAGTATTCATCTTAGACAAAAATGTCACAGAATAGGCATAACCTTAGGGATTACTCAGCAGATGAAAAGCTCCCTGTGTTAATTTCTAGATCTTTCAGGCAACATACAACTTGCGTTTGATGCGGGATAATGACTGCATACAAAAGTGAATATGTGGTCAAAAGTCGAATATTCCTTTCTAAATCCCGCTCGTGTTTCAGGAATCAAATCTCTCATGTTTGACCACTGTGTTAATCTGTTATTAGTGATAGAAGTAAATGCTTTACTAAGAATAGTAGTGACAGATATACCCCGGTAATTGTCAGGATTGTTTAATTGAAAAACGGATAATAATAGATTTCGACCAGACAGAAAGAAAAACACCTGTATCTAAAATTCGATTGAAACATTTAACCAGATAAGGCTTTATATCAGGAAATGAGTATTTAAGCATTTCAGCGATAAGACAATCAACCCCAGCATATTTGCCTGTTTTAAGGCGAGATAAAGCATTAAATATTTCCGTTTCCGTGATAGGCGATTCCAACAGACACATGTCAACATCAGTAAACTGTTCATTGACGCCATCATAATCGCGTTCAAAGAACTCATTGTCTACCAAAAATAGAGAATCAGCCTTTGAAAATAACTTCTTGAAATGACGTAGCCATGCATTCTGTTGGGGATATAGATCCTCTGGGGATAGAATGTCTCTGAAGTGAACGTATAGTGTTCCAAAATAATTTCGGACTGTGTAAAGTGCTATTTAATCGGACTAGCCGTGACAATTTCAGATCATATTTGAAGTTTTATACACATTTCTCAGTTAACAGTTGCGTTTCCGGTGGTATTCACTGCGTCAACACCTATACCTTCTGAGAGCCTGCCTGGAGTCAGATATTGCTGCCCTACATGCTATATTCAACTTTGGTTTATCATGTTCAGTTTCACCATATTTTATTTGTTTCTTCATACAGGACGCCGAGTCCAGAACATACTGTACCAAATGTGTTACCCCCTCATCTACATTAGCTTCAGTAATATCCATCAAAGAATGTTCGTGAATTTTCAAGGGCCCTCTCAGTGTTGTGATAACAATAACCTTTCCTTTGATTCATTTCATGAAAATGTACTGCTGCTAGAGACATAATCCTCTCGGTCTAAACTACGTGGGATAACTCAAGGGGGAAATAGCCTGAATCTGATTGATAACCAACATTTAACATATCTACATACTGGAAGAAACATCACAGATGGATGAAATAATCAACAACACAAGAACCATTATCTCCTACAAACATAAACTTGCCTGCTCTATCGCCTAAAACTCGCCCTTTTAGTATAAACAGACGACAAACAAAGCATTGATTCAACAAAATGCGTCCGAATCTTTTGATAGTACCATCTTGAGATACACGGTGTTCAACAGGGCCATTGTCTACATCAATGTATAAATCATCGTGTCCAAAGTCATCACTGTCCTCAAGAATGGGATTATTGTCGTTGCCTGTGTGGACATTAAGATCACGGTAGAGTAGCAATCAGACCAATACTCAAATATAAAAGTTTCCAGTTTATCAATAATACAACCTGTTATCCCAATGTAAAATGTAGAACCTGCCGGAGGGACATATATACACAACAACATGTAATTAAAGATAAAATACTGATAAAGTGTATGTGGAAAATTTGACATATTATATTATAAATAGACATATGAACTTTTCTATATCGGAGCTAAGGTGGATGAATTGGTTCACAACTTCTCTAACGCGGAGGCACACACCACTAGAACATGTAACTGAAGACGATAGTTTAACTGCTGGGGCAAAGTACATTTGGTAACCAGGTAGCCAGTTTAAGTCTGGGAAATCTGATATAAATGTGCGCGTGTTGATCACAGTGAGCTGATTACTTGCAGTTAGTGTGTCACTTCTCGCCTTGGCTCTACAACAATATCATAATTATCAATTATCAAATTGCCCATGGAACTTTAGTCAAGATTTTGGCGTGTAGTTTTTTTAGGCATTCTAAAAACATAACTACATACCAGAATCACTAGGGTAGTCAGAATTCTTTTTATTTATATTTTGTGGCCCATCATCATTACCGTGTTCAACAAAGAGGGATTGTGTAATAACCATGTGTTTATTTTTCATAAGCGAGGCAGTACACTATCAAATAGAGATTGTGAAATAATTGTGCAAGAACCATGTGCTTCTTTTCCATTAGCGAGGCAGTACAGAATCAAATGGAGATTGTGAAATATTTGTGCAAGAACCATGACTTGTGTTTCTTTTCCATGAGGGAGGCAGTACACAATCAAATGGAGATTGTGAAATATTTGTGCAAGAACCATGACTTGTGTTTATTTTGCATAAGCGAGGCAGTACACAATCAATTAGAGATTGTGAAATAATTGTGAAATAATCATGTGTTTCATTTCCAAAATGATATTTTACATTCCAACGGAGGCAAGTGTCACGGGGAATCCCTTTTCAGAAAGTAGTTCCGGGGTTCGGTATTTTCACATTTAATTTGCCAGTCAGACTCAGGGAGAAAAGGACAACACACATACCGTGTAAGTATATGGTTGAAAAGGTAGTTAATGCTGCTGCTACTACTAATACTAATGTTATTAACTATACCCCCATAATCTGTAATTCTTTACTTTGAATGTCAAGATGTCATAGTGCTGATTATTCACACATTATCAACTTATATACACTTTGTAATCTCCATGGTAACTACATGTGATAGTGTTTAATCATCCGTGTCTCTCCAAAGCGCTGTTGTCGGATGTTGTATGTTTCGTCACTTTCG